AGGATTTATGTTGACATTGTTTTACTCTGAATTGTTTCTGCATTTGGTGAAACAAAAGATTGTTTTTGATCACTTTTGTTCAGACGTGTTGATTTTGAGATTTGATGCAGCACAGGGAGGCACTTTCAGGGTTTGGGGATTCTGTCTTCACTTAACACTTATTCCCTGATTTTGTTTGTATTCTCAGAGTGTTGACTTTTAGGTTTGCTGTAGGCTCTCCCCGTTTATTGTTTGCAGCATCTAAATCTATTGATCATATATTTCTCTTGAGTACTAAAATTGAGCCTTCGGTTTTCAATTGCTGCTTTCTGATCCGATTTTGCCATCTTTATGGGGTTCAGCTAAACAAATTTTTCAGGGTCAATTTTCTGAAGTTGCTCCTCTTGCCTACTGAAGTGATCGAACAGGAGTGGCAAGTTTTGCTTTGAAAAGTTTTGGATCAGCAGTAAAGCATAGCATGATTGTTCTAATATTGAAAACGTGCTGTAATGAGAGAGAAAAGTTGTTAAAATACTGGTCTTCATTCCAGCTTCCAAAAAATGAATGAAAAATTTTATTGTGCCGGTTATCAGTAAAGAACTGTCAATTTATAATGTGCCTTTTATATTCTCCATGGCTCAAAACACTTCTCAGCCAACAGTAATCACTTTGTTTTAGACAAGCACAGCAATTTGCATGCAAGAACAAGCTAACCTTTAGTCGAAAATATTGGCTAGAATACCAGCATTACTCCCTGATTTTCAACGAGTCCTTGCGATCTTTTATGTCTAAGCAGGCAACTGGAAACTTAGTCATAGAGTTATAGAGATGTACGGCATGGAAACAGACCCTTCCAACTTGTCCATGCCGACCAGGTATCCTAAATTAATCTAGTCCCATTTGCCAGCATTTGGCCCATATCCCTCCAAACCCTTTGTCTACCCACCCAAATGCCTTTTTAAATGTTGTAATTGTACCAGCCTTCATCGTTTCCTGTTGCAGTTCATTCCATACACTCACTACCTTTTGCCAGAAATATAATATTTCTCTAAGTGCAGCATTGCCTCCGTACCTGCATTATCAATCACCTTTCACAAACACATGACAATGTATAGCCAATGAATACTCTTTCAATCACATCATTGTAGGAACATTATAGAGCACTGAGGTGTTAGCCCAAATTATATGCTGAAGCCCCTGAAGTGGGGCTAAGCTTGAGTAGAAAATGCCTTTTATAATACTCGGACTTAACCAGGATTCCACAGTTATTCACTTTAGGCAGTGATCTGTGTTTTTACAGATCATGGTTGAACAATCAGATCTGTAATCTTTGCAAACTTTCTCTGACCTGCACTAAAACCATGTCCACACAAAGGAACCACTTCGTATGTTGTCAGATGTTTCTATATTTTCATGAGCTAGCCAGTCTCATGACTATTCGAAGCTTGAATATATAATTTGGAATAAATCTAAGTGGCAACGAAACAACAGCTTGTTGGTGCTTCTGCATGGGAGGTGGTAGTGTGCAAGATTGATTTTTCTCACAAAGTAAATTTGAAGACACAAGTTGACGTTTTTTGCTATGTCTTTCTACCCTTTTCGCTGAAGACTGTCCTTTGTCCTTTGAGTAACAGCAACCTTCTCTGATCTTGTCCAATTTTCTTCATAAGTGAGTGTAATTAAGGAGCCATTTCAGGGGCCATTGAATAACATCAAAACAGTACCTACTCCATCTTCACCTGCTATGCATGCAAGGACACACTTTTCAGAGACTGAATAATGATCAAGTGCAGAAATCTTCCAATTCTTATTTGTTTTTTATCTATTCCTGCTTGTTACCTCCTTTAGAACTGTAATAAATTTGTCATGTGTGATTTCCCCTTCATGAGGTCATGCTGACTTGATTTATATTATATATTTCTAAATGCTCCACTATTTACATTTTTTATAGACTCTAATATTTTCCCATAGAAGATGTAAAGGTAACAGACTTTTAGGTTTTTTTGTGTGTCTCCTTCCCTTTTGAAATAAGGGTGTGACATTGGTAGTTTTCCAATTCTATAGGTCTTTTCCAGAATCCAAGGATTCTTAAAAGCTTACTAATATTGCACACACTATCTCTGTAGCTACTTTTGAAATCCTAGAATGCAACCCATCAAGTCTAGGAAACTTAATAGCCTTTAGCCCCATTAGGTTTCCTAGTACACTTTTTTTTTGCTAGTAGTCCTTTGATCGCTTGATTTTTGGTAGTTTCTTTTGAGATGCTGCTAGTGTTGTATATCATGAAAACCGATGCAAAATATTCATTCAACTCCTCTGTCATTTCCTGGTTCCCAATCTTATTTCCTCAGGCTCATTAGAGAACGAGCTTGTGTTCACTTTGGCCCTTTTTTCGCTTTTTTATATATTTAAGGAAGCTCTTACTATCTGTTTTTATTTTACTTGCTAGTTTGCCCTCTCAACTCATTCTCATTTTTTGGTCATCTCTGGCTTTTAAAATTTTCTCAGTCTTCTGGTTTGCCACTGGTCTTTGAAACAAAAACATACGATGTAGCAATGTGATACTGCCCTTGACTTCTTTGGTTTATCTGCTTCCTAGAATCCTTTTGCCTCACTAGCATATATCTTTGCTGTGAATCTTGCACTATTTTCTTAGATGTCTGCAATTGTTCTTCAACCATCTCTTTATTTTTTGCTAAACTCCATTTCCAATCCACTGCAGCCAGCTATGCCCTCAACCCAATGTAATTACCCTGACGTAAGTACAATAATTTCTAACAAGTTTCTCACTTTCAAACTGAATACTAAAATTCCTCCATGTTGTGGCCCATTGGGGATTTTTTTTTTTAGCTCTGAGATCATTTATTAGACCTGCCTAATTGCACATTACCAGATCCAAAATAGCCTGAACCTTTCTTGAATCCACTACATATTGTTCTATGAAACTGTCTTGAATATGCTAGATGAATTCTTCCTCATGGCTGCCCATTTAAGTCCCCCAAAATTATTGTACTGCCTTTTTAATGCCCTCATTATCTCCCAATTTATTCACTCTTTCCCAACAGAACAGCTACTGCTGGGGAGCCTATAGATTGTTCCTACCAGTGTCTTAATTTCCTTCTTAGGTCTTAAACCCCTCCCCTGCCCCAACAAGGATTCAGCATCATCAAACCCAAGATCATTTCTTACAATTATGCTTAATCCATCTCGTACTAACAAAGCTTCCCCACAACCCTTCCCTTTCTACTTGCACTTTCAAAATGTCCTATATCTCTGAGTATTTATTTTCTAGCTTCAATCTCCTTGCAGCCATGTCTCTGTAGTGGTAATTAGCTCTATCCATTAACCTCCACTTGTGCCATTAATTCAGTTCTTTCGTACTGAATATCACATGCATTTAAGAGAACCAGTTTTGTCTTTTTACCATTATTGCCCCTTTTGACTTTATCTGCAGCTTGTTTTACGTTTGTACAAATTGTTTCTCCACTCTAGGAATCATTGTCAAAATAGTTGCCCTGCAATACTGCCATATCCTTTTGCTTTGTGAGCCTGTGAATCTCTCCTTCTGAATCCTCCCGTCCAATTAATTTAAATCACTTTCTACAGCCAGGGTATGGCACCTAGCACTGTTCAAGTGAAACCTATTCAACCTGAACAGCTGCCTCCTGTCCCAGTACTGATGCTAGTGCTACAATAACATTAAACCCATTTCTCCCACACCAATCTTTTAAGCTATATGTTTAACATATTTCCTTTATTTACCATATGTCAGCTGGCTTGTGACTCAGGTAGTAATCCCAAGATTATTACCTTGGAGGTTCTGCTTTATAGTTTAGCTCCTAACTGTTCAAAATCTTTAAGCAGAAACTCTTTTCCAGTCCTATCAATGTCATTCATACCTATTTGGATGACAACAACCGCACTCCTCCCCTTCTAATCCAAATTCCTGTAAGGTCTTGAGGATATGAGCGTAACTCTGGCATCTGGAAGTTTCCTGCCAGATCTCCTGCTCACAGCAGCAGAGAACAGTATCTAGTCACCAAATTATAGTACTGTGTCCCTACCACTACTATATTACTATTTTGCTCTCCTGCTTGAATGGCTCCCTGTACCGCTGTGCTATGGTCAGTTCACTCGCCCTCCCTGCAGTCCCTATTCTCATTCTCATGGCTTCAAAAACCTCAACTGTTGGACAATTGCAGGGACAGAGGCTCCTCAAGACCTGTCCCTTGGATCCTCATATCTGCCTGACCTATATTCACATTCATGTCCTTTATCACAGACCATTGTTGAATTACCTGACCTAGGAGTGTGGCTGTCTCCTGGAATAAAAGGTACAGGTAACTTTTCTCTTCCCTGATGTGATGAAATGTCTGCAGTTTGGACTTGAGCTCTTCAACTTTGATCCAAAATTGCTTAATCTATAAACAGTTGCTATAGATGTATTCACTGTGAATTACTTTGGTGTCTCATTATGACACAGCAGCAACACATCATCCAAGCTGTGATCTTGATCATATCTTAACCCAATTATTAAATGAATCAGTCCAGTATCCCTCTTCCTTACACTTGATTAATGCACACTCTGAACAATTTAATGTATGTTTTCTTTTTCATGCAGCAGTATCAATTTTATATTACGATATTTTAAGAAAAAGAAGGAAAAAATAATTTGAGACCTAAGCATAAAGTCCTTACTTTTACTTTAAAGTATAGTTTGCTGGGAAGTAAGTTTTCCCTCATGGTTCACGAGTAATGTACATTAACATTTCAGATTGGCTGTTTGTGATAATCTATATCAAAGAAACCATTCTGGGCATTTTCTCAAAAGCTGAAAGAATTTTCCACAATCCTTCAAAATTAGAGTCCTCCAATAAATATTATATATAAAGCATCTTCATAACAAAATCAAGGAAATTTGATAATAGTAATTTTCCAGTCCTAGAGCTGACTCAATCATGACAGCAAGATTCACCATCTGGAGTTTATGGTAACCTGTATTTATTTTGTTTCCGACACAGATAAAGCCACAAATCCTTTAAACCGAGAACTGGAATGGAACTACATTCAAGAATTTTGTGACCAGCTGAACAAGGAATTGGAAGGGTAGGTACTTAATGAAAATCAGCAGAATTGTCCAAATAGCACTGCACCCATTTTGTTGAATCAGTTATATAAATATTTGCCGTTGACTAGCAACCAACCCTGGCTGTCATACATCTTCCCTTTGTTGGTTGAAGATCTCACTTGGATCAGCTGCTTTCAGTCAATAAAATAATTAAAAGTCTTGTCAGGGAGCCTGGAAAAATTAAACTTGTGTTGAGGGGTCCTGGATAACACCATAAGTTGAAGTAATTGTAGAACTGCAGGCTCAGATGTAGCTTCATATATTACGCAATTATTCACGGTAAGGTTTACAATGCATTTGTGACTGTAAACTTGTTTGGCAGACACTGCTATACACAATGGCTACTGGACATTAAGATTGGATTGAACTTGTTTATGTTGAACCTTCATGCCTGGGCTCAGTTGCTAAGTAGTTGCTTGAGATGAAGGACGCTGCTAGTACTGGTGAAACTATACATGTGAAAGGATTTGAGAGATTGAGAATCACAGCTAAGCATAGTGGTTGAAGTAAGAACTGACAACATTCAAGATTAGGTTGGAAAGGTGGATGAAGGCAAAAGGGATTGAGGGGAATATAAATGGAAAAGCTCAATTAGACCATATGGATTGCATCTATTTTGATTATTCAAGAGTGCCTGTGGATTGTTTATTAATTCACAGTAATGCCACAACAACGTAAGTTTGCATCTTATCTTAAAGTTCTCTTTTTGCGGTGTGACATTCGTTATGCCATAATGCTGTATCATTCTTACACTTCTCTTTCTTTAGACCTCAGCTTGCCACAAGGTTTCTGGCACATAAGATACAATCTCCCCAGGAATGGGAAGCTATTCAGGCCTTGACAGTAAGATTTACTGTGACTCTTTGTCTAAAGCCCTTTTGCTATTAAATGATCTTTATGGATATCAACAGTTTTTAAGGGATGTGTAGATAGTGTGGGCAAGTGATGTTGAACCTAGATGATCAGCCGTGATTTTTTTCTAATTGAATGGCAGAGCAGGCTTGATGGGCTGAATGACCCTTTCATGCTCCTGTGTTCTTAAGTATTGAAGTCTATGACCTATGATTTTATTTTAAAAGCATGATTTTGTAGACTTATGTATTTTAACTGATAAATTAACAGTGCTTTAAAACGTTAAAAGTTTTACATTATTTTGGAAATGGGTCAAATGAAAATATCCATCCCAGAGCCCAATGCCATGTAGTTGCGGTGAGGAGAACGGTAATGGAGCGCTCCTACATGTACCATGGGTATCCTACAGATTGATGCCACAATGCAATAAGGGCAACTTTTTAAAATCTTATTGTGATGTGGATATTGCTGGAGAGGCCAGCATTTGTTGTCCATCTTTAAACGGTCACCCTTCCGTAGCAATTGGGGATGGACAGCAAATGCTGCCTTTTGTCAGTAAGACCCACGTCCCATTAAATAATTAAAAATATGTCACCCTTTTATTGCCCTTTTGGTGACAGTCTGTTGGAAACTGCCACACAATCAGTTTTTAAAAAAAAATCTATAAAATTCTACACAATCTATAAAATGAGAATCACTCAGCTGAGATAGTCATTAACATTTGCAATTGAGGTCTGTCACCATCATGGTGTGATAAGCATCCCTTTCGGTCCTAAATGTCAATCTTAAAATGTCACCAAATCAAAATTCACAACCTACTGTGCACTTGGCTCGTGAGATTATATTTTTCTTTATTATATTCATGGGAGCTTCTGTTCAGCATTCAGTTATTAACTGGCATGAAATCATTCGCTAATCATTACATTGTTGTTATTTGAACACCTCATTGCAGATAGACTGATCTCTGTACCACTGCAAGGTGAAACAAGAACATGAACTTAAATTTTCTGCTTTAAGCAATCCCATTATGGCTGAGATACTTTCTCTGTCTCTAAGCCATTTGTATCAAGTTGCCATGGATTTGATCCTGTGTCTTAGCTTTGTAAAATCAGGCAAGATTGCCCATCCTGATTGCTGCCCCAATCAGAAGTGCATAAACTGGACAAGAGCAGGTGATTGCAGCACTGCCCACAGTTGGATGATCCACAGTATTAATGAACAAAAGTCCTACATGAAAAATGCCCATTAGCTGTAGCTATCAAAAGGCAAATAATTCCCATGAAATTAGGCTCCCAGCATACCGCCTGTAGAGTTTCTCACTTCTTCCCCCTCCATCCTCCATAACTTGTCTGAAACTCCAACTAAATAACATTTGCTTAAATTCCCTGGGTTTCATCTGTTCTTCTGCCAAAGTTAACTTCAGGTGGGAGGAAGATCTCTACAGAACCTGAGTAGAAGGAAGGAAGCTTGATGTATTTAATTTCAAGAAGTAAAAGGGCAATAAAGGGTAGATGTAAAGTTAAATGTGTTTTTTTTTAAATTCATTTTATTCAGTGTCAGTGAAATTTAAATTTTCTCAATTTTTGCTCAGGTCCTGGAGACATGTATGAAAAACTGTGGGAAGCGGTTTCATAATGAAGTCGGAAAATTCAGGTTTTTAAATGAATTAATCAAAGTGGTGTCACCCAAGGTAAGTCTGCTGCAGGGGTACTATAATCCTTTAGAATCTTTGTACCATAATGGAAAATAGATGAGCAAATCATCTGTAGCTAACTTGCCTGCCACCTAAATTCTCGTGACTAAATAGAGAGTCTTTGTTAGAGAACAACAGATGTCATTGTAAAGCGAAGGAAATTGTACCTTGTGCACCAAGTATGGCTACACAGCATGTTTGAAAGGAGCAAGGTCGTAGTGACGTCATATCATATGGAACTGAAGCCTGGGACTGTAGAGCTCCAAGTACGATGTCCTCTTTTATCTATTCTGTATGTGATGTTCAATAAAGCCAGCTGCTGTTCACTCGAGTGCAGATCTCTCATTACAATAGCATGTTATTTAGCATGGAAGCCTGCCTGAGGTATCTGTTGAGTGTCTTTGGTGACTGGTGCAGAGGACCCTGGAACCCTATGCAAATGGCTCACAAGGGCACAAAAGATACTGAAATTAGGAGGGCTGTTCCAAAGTGATGCAGGCGACCAGAATGACTGTCTAGTCACACAATGCCTATTTAGATTTGGCTTTTGAGAGAGAATAAAAATTGAAAATCTTGAAAGAACATAAGTGCTGAATGACACCTTTACTGCATAAGACTTCCCAGGTGCTGGGAAATGGTGTAGTACTGAATGGATCCTTAATTGGCTGCTTGCACTGCTGGGTGTGTCATGGGTAACATGCCAAGAATGACAGAAAATCATTCAAAGAGCTGACTTTTCCATTTTACAGTGGGGCTGCATCATTGGCTTAGCGATTGTAGAAATATTGGAATGTCAGCATTGCAAAATATTCCAGCTTGAAAGCTAATCTCTTAAACAAATAAATGGTGTTGCCATGGTGGTCTCCTCTAGGCCCAGCACTCATAACATTTTTTTTTGTTGATTCACAAGAAGTACTTCCTAAATAGAATGAACCCTAACCTCTTACCTTCGCATATTTCCAACATACAAGTGATACATTTGCTATATTTGAATATGTAAATGTGTGTAAGTATTTCCTTACACACTTTAATGGGCTCTTCCTGCACTCAAATTTGCCTTAGAATTAGAGCAATCTAATGCATCGCTTACCTCAATATGTCAGTTGAGAAATCTCTTGCTGTCTGCTGCAAGCTCACCTTTGCTGGCCAATATTTGCATTGGGAGATTCCTATAAATCCATGCACTATAAGGTTGGTCTTATTGGCAACCTCGTAACCGGGGCCAGAGCCATTTGCTTGCCGTGCTTGGAAGATGTGTTCAAAATTTGAGCAACAGATGGAGCTAGATGTTTCACATGTTGTTGTATATTAACTGCAGTGGGGTTGATGTTCTGTCTGCCGCACAAGTAAGTAATGTGGTACATGAAGTTCAGTGTGTGATGTCTTCGGTGTAGGCCATATGTCCCAACAATTTGTAGATCATTATCAAGCACCATGTAAAGTACCGACCAAGTTCAACCAAACTTTGCTTACCCAAACTCAGAAATTAGTTTTGAACCTTTTAACTATTGTCCAGTCACAGAATCCCATTTAACAACCCAGAGAGTGCTAAGGGAAATACTAACAACCAATTCAAACTTATTATTTGGTCTCATTATACTTGTTAGATGCTATACTTATGCATATGCATGACCCTCTGCTTTGCAAACAGAAATGATGTATCCACACATTGCACATTTTCAAATGAACAATAGCCTGGGGTTGAATGTTCCCTGGTGCATTCTCCATGGAAATGCCTCAGCTAATTCATCAACATCCTCTTCTTATGCTGTATAAATTGTTGTTCCCTTTGAGATTTGGTATTCTAGTGATTCTGTCCTGGTGAATGTAGGTTAATGAGCTTTGATTGTGAATCTCTGTTTTCTCCAGCAGCAGTTGAATTCTTAATTATTGAGTTGCACTATTAATAATTCTAATTCAAACATTGTGGCTAAGGGATACTTTAACTTTTTTTTTGTGTTTTTCCCATTAGTATCTGGGAACGCGAGCTTCTGAGAAAGTAAAAGCTAAAGTTTTAGAACTAATGTTCAGTTGGACAGTGGGTCTACCAGATGAGCTGAAGATCACAGAGGCCTATCACATGCTTAAAAAACAAGGTTTGTTCAGACCTTTCCAGCCAAGTGTAAGTACTCGGCTATAAACTATTGCTATTTCCAATGATGCGTCTTGATCCTGAACTGCACAACTCTCTTATTAAATGACCTCCTTCTGTACTGTAAAATTCTATGATTCTATATCAGTCTGCACTGTTATTCTAAAAGCCATGGTATCAGTACGCAACCTGTATTTATATGTCATTAAGATGGAATAAAGGATTTCCAAAAACTCTTGTGTTTCTTTACAAGAGTAATACAAGAACTGAGAAGCCATACCTATCAGAGAGGATTGAACAGACTGGAGTTCTTAACTTTACAAAAGGCAATGCCAAACGATGGTCTGTTGGAAGCTTTTACCATTATTGGAGGGCTTCTACATGGAGAAACCACAACTAGGGGTCATATTTATAACATTACTAATAAATCCAACAGGTAATTCAAGAGAAGATTCTTTACCCAGGGAATGGTTGGAATTGAGGAATTCTTTGCCTCAAGCTGGAGTTAAGGTGATTTGTGGAAACAGATTTAAGAAGCTGGATAAACAAGACTGAGAAAGGATTGGAAGACTATACTGCTAGAGTTAATGAAGAAGGGTGGGAAGTAGACACTTGGGAAGCATAAATGTTAGATTGGGCCCATTGGACCAAATGACCTGTTTCTGTGCTGTATGTTCTCTGTAGTTATTCACTGTGAACATGGCTGGCTTTGAGTTTGACTACTGATAGGTAGCACTAAATCGTGTGAAATTCCAGGTTTGACATGCTGTCAGGGTGAGCAGTTTTTGTCTACGTGGAGACTGTAGCCAAGGTTCAGACAGGTGAGGAATTTGTCATTTTGTTTGGATCTCTTTCAGGTTGGATTCGGTCTTTTTTTTTGTGTGTGTGAAATCCAACTAATTTAGGGAAGTGTGAAATTGCCCACAAATCACCATTAACCTTTACATAAGTGAGTCCCAGTGGCTGCTGCCAAAACTTACCCTTGAGTAGAAATAAATGACTGCTAATAGTTCCTTGTTAACACAGACTTTCACTGAAACATATGAACATACAAATAAATTAGGAGCATGAGTAGGTTACTTAGCCCTTGAGTCTGCAATGCTATTGAATAAGCTCAGGGACTGATTGTGGATTTAGCTCTATTTTTCTGCTAACCCCATCTTTCCTTTGGCTTTCTTGTTAGTAAAGAATCCATCTGCCTCTACCTTAAAAATATTCATTGGCGTGGCCTTCACTAGTGTTGGGGAAAGAGTTTCATGGAATCGTAGAGGTTTACATTGTGGAAACGGGCCCTTCGGCCCATCATGTTGATGCAGGTCATCAAGCATCTATCTATTCTAACCCCATTTTCCAGCACTTGGCCCGTGGTCATGTATGCTGTGGCATTTCAATTTCTTCAAATTTCTTGAAGGTTTCTACCTCTACAATCTTTTTTAGGCAGTGAGTTCACTCGATGGGTAATTTTTATTTTTCCTCAAATCCTCTCTAAACCTCCTACTCCTTGCCTTAAAACTATTCCCATGGTTATTGACCTCTCCACTAAAAGGAAAATTTATCTCCATCTACCTTATCTATGCCTTTCAGAACTCTGCCCACCTCAGTCAGGTTCCCCTTCAGCCTTCTCAGCTTTAATGAAAATGACCCCAGCCTATCTAATTTTTCTGTAGCTGACTTCCTGCAGCTCAAGCAATATTCCTGGTGAATGTCATCTGCTTGTGACCCTCTGAGGGGAAAGTAATCCTCAGTTCTCCACTAAATTGGGCACAGCTTAATTTTAAACTGTGTCCACTAGTTCTAATATCTTCCACAAGGGGAAACATGAAAAAGGCTTCGTTTTTAAAAACTGATTCCAGCAAAACAAATGCATCATATAAATTTTAAAGGCAAGTGTTTTGAGTTGAAGACCAGTGTTCGGTTGCTAATAAGTGTTGAAATTTTATTTCAAAACTTTAAAAAAACGCGAGTTCTTTGCTTGCTATAGAGTCAGTTATTGTTAACGAGTAACTTGGTGAGAAAGAGATGAAGAGTGATCATAGAATTTCTACAGCGTGAAAGCAGGCCACTTGGCCGTCGAGTCAACACTGACCCTCCAAAGAGCATCCCATCCAGACCCAGCCCCCTACCCAATCCCTGTAACCCTGCATGTCCCATGGCCAATTCGCTTAACCTGCACATCTTTGGAAGCAGGCCACAAAGAGGCAGGTTACCATGGGTTTGGAGATAGAGGAAGAGCTGTGCTGATTGTACTTGCTGGCACTTCAGAGTTTCTTGTGGTCCTATCATCAGTGAAACTGTGTTTCCAACATTGGCTGAGCTGTGTGGAGAGTGTTTTGCTGTTTGCCGTAAGTTTTCTGTTTCAATATTTTGCCCTGCTATTCCACAGGAATTATAAAACAGGATCCTGTGTTACCTGATGATGAACCCCTTCCTCCACCCCCTCCACGCTTGAATGCCATGTTTGAAGATGAGGAAAAGTCTAAGGTAACTTATCCCTGTCCCATTGTGGTGTTTGCAGGGACCAAGTCTAAGTACACTGCTGAAGCTGATACTGTCCATGCTGTAATTTTAAATTACTCTCTGTAAAATCTGAAGGGGTGCATATTTAAAGATATTGCCTGCATGCTGTAAAATGTAATTAAAGGGAACATTAGTCTTGAGGTGAAGTAGGGGTAGAGAAGAGGAGCTAGTTCGGACCATGATAATTTGTGTAATTCATTTTAAAGCATGAATTCTATACTTTGTATGACTAGATAACAGTGCTCAAAATATGTAAAGATTGTCCCTGAATTGCCTGTAAAAATTCAATAATGGGGGTGGGGGTCACCAATGAAAGAAATATTGCCCCCGTAAGTAGAAACAGGAAAGAAATGGTGAGGAGCTGCTTCTCCAATCCCAGGATGGTTCTCTGCTGTGCTCACTGCTGGTAAGCTCCATGAATCAATCAGCAGCAAATGTAGGAGAAGAGCAGACTGCGATTGAAGCAGCAAGGTGAATTTAATATTAAAAACACTCGCAGTTCCAAGGGCTCTTGGGTGCAAGAGATAGTGTCCTTACCTCTGGTAAAGAGGAACCAGGTTCAAGTCCCACTGCTTCAGAGGTGTGCCATAACACAGTTGACCAGCCTGATTAAAAGTACTTACAAGCAGTTCCAAAGGCTACCATGTTCCAATTGTACAATCCCTACCTCTGAACCAGAATGGTTAGGTTCAAGTCCCAACTGCTCCAGAGATGTTTTGTTACAGTTTGGAACAGGGTTGATTTAAAAATATCTGTACTACTATGACTTATGATTTGTCTACAGCTAACCTTGTCTAATGTTGGAAGCTAAACAAATTCAGACTTGGTTAATCCTTGGATTGAGACACACCTGGGAGATTAGCTGCAGCAGGCTTTCTGCCCCTGGTGGACAGTGATTGATTATGATCTATGCTTATATAAAAAATAAAGCTGAGTTCCTCCCCATTGGAGGGTTGGTTTCTTGTCAAGGAAAGGTGAAAAGTTATGTTTGTACTAACCACAGATTTACAGTAAAACCTTTGCAAATTTCTGAAAGTATTTTGCAGTTTGAACCAATGTCAGTGTCAAATTAAGAAGCAGGAGTGAGGGGTTGGGAAGGGAAAGAGAGTCTACAAAGGGTGGAAGGGTCTGAAAGGGATTGCAAAAGGCAGCAAAGATCTTTTCAGTCTTCCAGCAAAGGAATATGTCCTTAATTGGGAACAGGAAAACTGAGGTAGTAAATTTCTGACAAATTAATGTGGGGTCTCTATACTAAAGCTACAGGAGTCCAGCTGCTATTCTGTGGGGAAAATATGTTGTGGTTCTATAGTAATGAACAATTGTAAAATTTACTTTTGAACAGTTTTATTCCAGATACATTTGCACTTTTTGTTTTATCACACCTCAAAGCATCTTGCATACTATTAATTACTTGAGGTCCATTGCTGTGTTGGAGATGGTTTAGTTATAACCTCATTAGTCCTCAGAAAATGTGATTACATGTCTTTTGTGTATAGAAGTATGTTGGTTATTTTTGCTTAAGAGCGTTTGCTGACTTCTGCCTGATTTCCTCTGCCAATTTAAACATTGTGATATCTAGAATTTGTGGATTTAAGTTTAATGGATCAGTGATGATCAGTGGGGATATTCATAAATTCTAATTACATTTCAAAGTGTAAAAGTTTGGGATGCTGGCTGGAGTCTGATAATTTCTCTACAGTTTGTGGAAAAGTTTGAAGCGGTTTAAGTTTCAACCTTTACCTGAGGCATGGTGACCCTCAAGTTAAATTCACCACCAATTGTCTCTCTGTCTCAGCAGAGAGAAGCCCTATGGTCTGGTAGGACTATGGCAACCGTACTTTGAGTGTTTGCATCCTGTTACTGTGAGACTGTCAAGAACCTTAACATTAGAGCAGAACTAACGGTTTCTAGTACCGGAGTAACTTGTGTTTAATTTCTATGACGTGAGGTGCTATGATATTTCTGGTGTTTGAAGTTTTTAAGAGTTGAAAAGCCTGCCAAGAGAATGTTTTAAATTATCTAAATCTCAAGAGAAAATAATAGCTAGACTCTCTCCCTGGTGTCAGTGGTGTTTTTTCTTAATTCAAGAGTTGTGTTAAATGAGCATGCATACACAGTTGGAAAAATACATGGAGTAAATAAGTAAGTTAGAAAGATTTGCATTTATTAAGTATCATTCATACCGCGGGATGTCCCAGAGTGTGTTACAACAAACAAAGTACACTTGGTATATTGTTGTTTTTGTGACATAGAACTTCATATTTGTAAGCCTATTCATTTAACTGATTGGAGATGGCCCAGTTTCTATCTGTTGCTCTTGTTGTATTCAGTACCATCACTAGGTGGTATTACACGCTTACACTTAGCACCATTTGAGAGCTAATGCGGGAGTATTCGTATAATAGCACAGTTGTTTGTTACATTCAAACTCTGTTTGAACTATATCAGCAATGCAATTGCCAGAAGTTTTGACTCTTGTTTGATTTTTCTGTTTTAGCTATTGGCCAGACTCCTGAAGAGCACCCATCCAGAGGACCTCCGAGCTGCAAATAAATTAATCAAGGAGATGGTCCAAGAGGTGGGTCTTGTTGCCTATTCGTAGAGTTTGCAAATTGTCTGGCAAGTATAAAGTGGGGATATTAAAATATTAAAATCTACATGTACTTTAAGTATCTCTTTTTTTCACTTCTGTTTGTGTCTCATAATGTGGAGGGGTTAGTGCTGGCAAATGCAGTTTTGCCATTCCAAAGATATCATGGCTGCATGATATATTATCTACAAGATGTATTTCAGCAACTCATCAGGGCTGCTTTGACAACATCTCAAACACACGGCCAATACCTCACAAATGGCCAAGGGCAGTAGGTGAGCTGCCTTCTTGACCCTCTGCAGCCCATGTGCAAAAGCTAGATCCACAGTGTCCTTAGGGAGGGAATTCCAGGATCTTTGACCCAGCAACACTGATGGAAAAGCAAAATATTTCAAAATCAAGATGGTGCGTGGCTTGGAGGGGACCTTCCAAGTGGGGGTGTTCCGATGTGACTGCTGACCTTGCCGTTCTAGACTTCCAGTCTAAGGAACCTGGGTGAATTTCTACAGTGCATCTTAGAATCCCAGAGTATGGTAACAGGCCATTTGGCCCAACATGTCCACACCGACCCTCCAAAGAGTGTTCCACCCAAACCCATCCCCCTGCCCTATCCGTGCAACTCTGCACTTCCTATGTCTAACGCACCTCATCTACACATCCCTGTACACTCTAGGGAATTTAGCATGTCCGATCCAATTAACTTGCACATCTTTGGACAATGGGAGGAAGCCAGAGCACCCAGGGAAACCCACAATCTTGTGTCTTGTACACACTGCTACTGAGCAACAGTGGTGGACAGTGTGGATATTTGTGGATGTGGTGCCAATCAAGTGGGCTGTTTTGTCCCGGATGGTGTCAAGCTTCTGTAGTGTTGGAGCTGCACTTATCCAGGCAAATGGAGAGTATTCAGTCACACTTGTGACTTGTGCCTTGTAGATGGTGTGAAGGTTTTGGGGAAGGCAGGAGGTGCAGGATTCATAGCCTCTGACCTAATTTTATAGCCACTGTATTTATATGGCTAGTCCGATTCAGTTTCTAGCCCATAACCCCAGAAACTGAACTAAACTAGGCAGTCTGATTAAAGTCCACCTCTGAGGTGAAAACTACTGAACCAGTCAGGTTGTTGGCCACCACCCCATTGTCCTCATTTTCTGTTGTTTTTTTATATTACTAATAATATAGTAAAGGTGTTCTACTTTTAGAAAAAAGAGCACTAAGAATGAAGTCTGTTCTTTAAACTCTTTAGGACCAGAAAAGAATGGAGAAGATTTCTAAAAGAGTCAATGCAATTGAAGAGGTGAACAACAATGTTAAACTTCTGAGTGAAATGCTGGAGAATTATAGCAAAGATGAAACCCCTGAGAGTAATGAAGAAATAATGAAGGTATGTACGGAATGAAAAGAACGTTTTTGTTTGTCACACTGTGATTATAATGTGTACATGTGATTATCAAAGTGAGAATCATCACATGTGGAGAATGAAAAATGCACTCAAGTTACTTTTGAACCATGGAGCCAGTGTTCTACAAGTCTCAAACACTACGTTGGTAGATTGTCCTAGCCGTACATTTCCAACTTTTCCCAGTACTGGTGCCACTGCCTTGCGAACCCCAATCAACTTCTCCCATATGACCCCATTTGAGATTATTACTGTTTTGAGGTTCTGCTTGTTAATTTGGAACCAAACCCTTCATATTTACTATGCAGGACCCTTCATATTTACTATGCAGGA